CGAGCCAACCATGGGCCGACCTGAACTGAGACGTTAACGACTAACAACGACTGACGTGTTCGGTATATCCGTCCCTAGCGGCACTCACAGTTCTAACCAAAAGAAGCGTAACAAAGCTGGTGAGTTGAACTGCATAGCCTGACCGTGGCACTGCAAGCGGTAAGAGTATAAAGCTGAAATACCCTCATGACCCCGTCAGCACCATTTCATGACCACACCCGGATAAAAGCTCCAGCCCAGCCGAGTCCACACGTCGTCAAAGTCAGAACACGTACCATCCCACAACGCGACTCGAAGTCTACCACGTCGCGCCAGCTGAGATCCATCCGTCACACCTCAGCGCCTCGCGCCCCTCGACGCGAGACAGCGGCCCCGGGCACTGACCGGCCGGCAGCAGTCTGCACGTTGGACTCCTCCACCACGATGTGCGAGGTGTAGCAGAAGTCAATAAGCAGCTCCATGGCCATCTCGTCGATGTCGCGGATGGTGACCTCGGTCTGGCGCGACTCCACCAGCTCGCCGGTGAACATGGCGTGGAAGTAGGGACTGCACGCCGACAAGATCACCCTGCGGCATGGACACGCCGCGGGCTCGCGTGTGACGCTCCGCCAGACGTCGCCATCGACGGCGAGTTGATGAACGTGGCACTCGTCTTGGTGGAAGCAGCATTCAAGCCCGAACGCTTAGAGAGAGCGCACTTTGCGCTGAAGGGCATAATCGAAGACTGCCAACATGCGACGCAAACAGAGCTGGCTCACCCCACATTACGCGTGCGCTGACACAACCACCCCCGCGGTACCGCCACCCCGTCCGCCCCGACAGCGGCGTCAGCCGCCACCTTCACCTGTGCGCGAAGATCTTGCGCGCGCCGACGAACAGGACGACGTCGCAGAGCTCGCGGTGCTTGCGCAGCGCAGCCAGCTCCTTGAGCGTGGAGCGCGGGTGCTTCTCGGAAGTGAAAGGCAGCCGGGCCGGCGACGGCGGCCGCTCGGCCTCAGTTAGCTCCGTCAGGTTCATGACGCTGCGGCTCATCGGACCATTGCCGCCGACCGGGGCCGCCGCTGTCGGCACGAGCGCCGCCTCCCGCCTCCTGTCGGCCCAACATGGGGGTCCGTCACACAGAGCTGTCATCGGACCATCGCCGCCGACCGGGGCCGCCGCTGTCGGCACGAGCGCCGCCTCCCGTTTCCTGTCGGCCCAACATGGGGGCCCATCACACAGAGCTGTTAGATATGTCTGACCAGTCAGAGCTCTAGCTCTGCTCACTGAGGATGTCTGTTGGGTTACATTTCTTGAAGCAAAATCACCTGTGCTGGTCGTCAAATTGATGTCTGTAAAAAAACATGAACACCAGCACACTCTGTGGCTGTTGCTTGACTCAGTCTGTGGAGTGGCCAATGCATGTCAGACATGTCACATCCTAAAAACTATCCATACATGATTTATATATGAGAGCATATACATATCCACTAAAAAAATAACTTACAAACTACTCAACTTGATTATTATTCATATTATTATTATACAACTAATCAGTTAATTTGCTCTTTGTGGTGAACTGCATAGTGATAATGCTTATATGATTTAAGAGACAGTATCCACTTCTTGAGAGATGGTGCTCCAGCATAGAAAGATTATCCTGCTCCAATACCATGCTTTGAGGAAGGCATGCACACTGAAAGGTGGAGAAGGGCTACAGATTTACAGGTGAAGATAAATCATAGTCCTATCATAGTCTCATATACAACACTTCTGTCTTCGAGCACAGTGATAAGATATTGGTTAACCTAGTTAGAAATTACTGGCTAACTGTGACTGTTTTTGTGTTGGTCTAACCCAGAAACTTGTTTCATATACTGAAATATGCAGGCAACAGTAAGTGGGCATCCAGGAGTTCTAGAATGCTATCTGAAATGTATGTGATAATTATAACCAACCAAAGAAAAAGACTAACTCAGTGAAATGCATGTCATGAAAAATATTAGATATGCTTAAATAATCAGCAAAATGCATTCACCTGATCTGGATATCAACAAAAGCTATCCATCTAAGCCAAACATTTGCATTGATTAATAAAACATAGCTGCATTTTGGTTAACCAGCCCCCTAAAATTACTTGTGGCCAATGTCAACCAAATGCAAGTCATTGCCTCCACGACTAATTCTGCTAGATATTGTACGCTAAGTCACTGTAGTAACTTGAGCTAAACTGGAGTCTCTCTAAGGCTTGGGATAGGCTGTAACACAGACATCAATCATGATACATTTAATATGTCTGTATGATCGCCGAGACAAAAGTTAACAATCGTCAATTAACTGACAACTCTTGCCATGCCAGAGTCCTTACATGTTCTACATGAAAAGTGAAGAAACATCCGAAAGTAGGGTGCAAAATTCAAATTCAAAACTGATCCTTTCCATGGATCACCACAGAGTTTAGCTCAATCACTTTCTGAAAGTGAGGGTTCCGTGGCACTCAAGGACCCTATGCTCCTATGCCTATGTTCTATGCAACGATCTTATTTTGAAATGATCTACCAGTTAAGAAAGAAATGCATGACATAAGCTAATAAAGCAGTAATGATATGACTATATGAGCACAGGCCACGCAGGGCTCAGACAATAAAGTAAAGAACAAGGACAGACATCCAAACCAATGTAACACCGTCATTTCATGACCATTGAAGTGAACCCGGCCGCAGAAACCCTAGACCAACTCAAATTATTATGCTTGAATTAAAGGGCTACGTGCGTTTGCGTGCACCCAGCGATTAAGTGTTCATGAAGTTTTAACACTAGGGTGCACCAGGAACAGAGGAATTCTATCGTGTTGCGACAAAAGAAACCTGAGGTGTCCCATGATTTGTAATGCTACGTTTCAGAGCCCACAGCAACAAACAGCCACGGACATACCTGTTGACTCCCCACGGACACACACACACCCTTTCTCGTCCCTCTGTCCGCAACACGCGCTCAACGCACAACCACGGGCGTCGCGCGTTTCTCCCATAGCCAAACGATCAAGGAACGCAAATAACCAACCCCAGCTCTGTTCATTAAACAGCTGACGATGAGGGTGATGTACTAAAATGTCGTCACACTCAAAAGAAACGTTGGCAAGCTAAAATGCGTACCTTACTCCTGCCCGTTTCAAAACAAAAACTATGTTCTTCGACATAAAATAGCCGACTTGTTGGAAAAACTCCAGATGCGTCCTTGTGCACGTAACCCAGAGCCCCGTTGGGCCCTGGGTTACGTGCACATCGTTATCAAAATGTACGCATGAATACTCATTTTGTCAACTTTATCATCGATCTATACAAGTCTGTTATAGGTCAGTGAAACATGTGAAGTGCGTGAGCAGATGTTGACAACCAAAAATTCAAAAATGACTTGTAAATTTTAACAGATCGAGAACGTGAACACTCGAAAGTGCATCGCCCTATTCCGTCGCGCTGTCGTCCAACAAAAGTGCAAAAAAGTGTAAATGCAAGGGGCGAGTGATGTGCAAAAGAAAGGTTTTGTGCAGGGAAAAACTCGGAATCAAGGGATTTCAATAATTTTTTTAGTCTTTTGGAGTCGTTTTCTTGATCTTAAAGTTTGCACCACATGATGATGTAAGATGAGTCGAATGCCCCGCGCCCGCTGCTAATCCAGCCAACACGTCCAACTGGAAACAATGTCAGTGCGAGATTGGGCAGCCGTATGGGGCCCATCCAGACTGCCCACCCCGATCCCATGTGGGCATCTCACGAGCAGCCAACTAGGTCCCACATGGGCAGCCCACCTGGGCTCATGTGGGGTCAAACTGGGACCCACATGGGCCAACCTGGTCTGCCCAGCTAGGACCCACTTGGGCCGTTTAGTCGAGATACACATGGACACGTCCAGATAGAACTCATATAACCATCCCAGATGAGCCCCGTTTGGCACCATCAATCTGTGTTTTCAAACTACATGTGATTGATGAGCCGCCTTTATTCCAGGCAGGTTCCCTCACATCATCAAAATAACCCAAATAAAGGTTTAATCGCCACGTATTTGCCGCAATAGTGTCGGCAACAAGACTGTGGTTCAAAGCGCACACTTTACCGTTCTCATGTCTGATCTGACGACCTCTGAACAATTGAACAAACACTGTTGCCGTTGCTCCCATTGTTCGCGCGGTGTTGCTTGCCGCCGTCGCGGCATCTCTCGCTGGAATCTATTTTCCTAGTGCATTCTCCGCTTCGCTGCGGGAGACACCGTAGCCTCGCTGCTGTTGCACAGATAGGCTGCTGGAAAAGGCGACATTGGCCACCTCGGGCCGCCAATCCACATACTGGGTGCTGACGAGCATTCATGTAAACAGGTTAGAGTACTGTGATAATTGATTTTATATTCAGTCGTGCACCGAGCCTGATTATAATGAGAGCAGCTACGTCGAAAACCAGTGCGTAAATGCCAGTTGGGCGGCTGCTGCAGTCGACCCATGTAACGTGGAATGACCGACATAACTTGATGTCACAACAGTTATCTGTTGAGTTTGGCAAATGTGCTGAATGTGTCAAATGTTTTGCTTGAATGAGGTACCATTTTATATATATATATATATATATATATATATATATAGATATAGATATAGATTAGATATATATATATATATATATATATATATATATATATATATATATATATCTATCTCTCTCTCTCTCTCTCTCTATCTATCTATCTCTCTCTCTCTCTATCTATCTATCTATCTATCTATCTATCTATCTATCTATCTATCTATCTATCATCTATCTATCTATCTATCTATCTATCTCTATCTATCTATCTATCTATATATCTATATCTATATCTAATCATATCTATATCTATATCTATATCTATATCTATATATATATATCTATATCTAATCTATATCTAATATCTATAT